CACACATTGAACTTGAGCTTTTAAAAGCCCCTCCCAGCAATCTCTCTGGCGATGCCTGATGTTCCTCCACCACTAGTATTCTGCCCTTTGTTTTAAGCATTGCTTTGCACAGTGATTCTTGAGTTTTAAACAAAAATTCTATTTATCCTTTCTCATAGCAGAAATAAGGGTGAAGGGAGGGTGAGGCAGGGATAAATCCATTTCCTCTCTCCTGACAGATCAGTGTGCTGAAGAACTGCCCAAGAAAGTGCCCTTGGTTGGCCTTGAGGACACTTGCTCAGGGCTCCATCAGAGGCTCAATATAAGCCAAGTCAGCATCATTTGCATAACACTCCCATGACTGACAGTGGCTTCTTTTCTGGTACAAATAACAGGGGCCTGGGAAGAGGTCCAGCATCAGTCCCTCCAGCCCCCAACATGGACTTACAAGCTATGTGGCTCTGAGCAAGTTTCTTAGCTGCTCTGTGCCTCAATGTTCTTAACCTATAAAATGGGCACAACCATGATGAGCCCTCCTAGGAATGATGAGGAATACAAGTTAATACATGTAACATGCTTAGATCATTGTCTGGCAGATAGTAAGCACGTATTTGTTATTGTCACCATCATCATCATTTTTGGTTTCCGTCAGACCCTGTGCAGGGTTCGGTGACGCACAGATAAATGAGCCTGTCTCTAACTCTGGTGGGGTTCATGATCTAGAGGAAGAGACACACCCTGGGTGTGCCAGACCTTCTGCTGAGCCCTGGGCACAGATCTGAAGGTGAATAGAAAAGGTGGCTCCTGGAGTTAGGCAACAAGGTACTCTACCTTAAAGAAGACTCTGGTACAAGGCAGAGTTGACTACGGCTGAAGAGAGTGATGTGCTGGGGGATGGGGTGGGAGGGTGGTACTTTGGGCCTCCCCTAAATGCCGTTCTTCTTTAAAGCTGCTTCTTGCCAACTGTTTCCCGTGTGGTCCATGGCCCCTTGCCTCTGTGCCTTTGCACATAGCTCCCTCTGGCCCTTCCAACTCACTCCCAGCATCCCCTCCATCAGGAACTTTCCTTGACTGACTCTGATCTGATTTGGCCACCAGGTCTACCTTGAAATTTCTTAAGGGAAGTGCTGCAACTTGTTCACCACAGTATCCCCAGTGCTAGCATACAGTAGGTGCTCAATTAATGTAGGAATGTTAGAAAGGGAATGTGTTTCTGTCAGAATTGTGTTTAGCTACAAATGCCAAAAATCCTGACAATGAGGCTTAAACAAAACGAGGCTTTTTTCTTTTTTTTTCTTTCAAGTAAGAAAGCAGGCAGCTGCGAGCGAGAGCAGTAGCTCAACATGTCTGTGTTTGCTTTGGCTTTTCCTCAAGGTCACAAGATGGCCCCTATAGCTCCTGCCATCACATTCATGTTCAAGGAAAGAAGGAGAGACAAGACACAGCACCAGCCCTGCTGTCAGGAGGAGTGAAACCATTCCTGAATGCCAACAAATTTCTGCTAACTTTTCATTAGCCAAAACTGGGTCACATGGCCAACCCCAGCTACAAGAAAGGCTGGAAAAACGAGTATCTAACTGGAGCTGGAAGAACAAAATTGCAGCTTTGTTAGCAAGGAAGAAGTCCAAGGGTGGTGGGGGGAGAAAGGCTAATGAAGTGGGGGTCAGGAGGGAAAGTTCTGGTCAAGCAACTAGCACAGGCCTTCATAAAGGAGGTGTAATTTGAGCTGTGCCTAGAAGGTCAGGTACAATTTTGACAATAGGAATAATGGCCTAGATGGAAGTCTAGAGGCCTGGTGTATTTGGCATCAGGCAGAAGCTCTCTTTGCCCCATGTATGCTCTGAATCTCTTCCTTCACTCTACCTGAAATTCCACCATTAGAGATTACCTCAGCCAATGAACATGTACTAGATACCTGCTATGTACAGAGTTCTTTTAAAAACATAGATATGCCCTGAAGGCTTATGGTATCAGTCATTCATACCTGAATATTAATCAGTTTTATTGGCTAGTGACTTCCTAATGCTTAGCTGAACTCTGCACTGCAAAATGGGAATTTTTATTCTAGAAAGAGGGTCATAGGAGATGGGGGATGAGCAGGGCTGGGGCTGGATACTGAATGTCCGAGGGTAATAGGAGGCCTGGAGAAGAGGGAACTCACATTTTCTGAGGCCTCTAGGACAGCCACTGCCATCTTTCCTCCCTAAGCCTCTGTCATTGCTATTTCACAATTGTGATTGAGCTTAAAGAAGGAAACTGCCCTACCTAAGGTCATCCCATGCACAGGTGACACAAGTCGGGTTGGACCCTGATCAGTCTAATCCCAAAGCACATGATCTTGCCACTATACAAATACTGTCTTTTTCCTCCCATCCCACTTTGCTGCCTTAATAATAATTGTCTTGCCCTGGCCGGTTTGGCTCAGTGGTTAGAGTGTCAGCCTGCGGTCCAGAGAGACCCGGGTTCGGTCCCCGCTAAGGGCGCGTACCTCAGTTGCAGTTTGTCCCCGGCCCTGGTTGGTCGTGCAGGTGGCAGCCACTCAGTGTGTTCCTTTCATGTCGATGTTTCTCTTTCTCTCTCTCCCTCCCACTCTATCTGAACAAAAAATGGAAAATAATGTCCTCGGGTGAGGATAATAATAATAATAATAATGATAATGATAATTGTCTCAGCTGGCGTTTATTCAACACTTGTTCTGTACCAAGCATCGTTCTAAGTGCTTCACATGTTTTAATTCATGCTATTTTCGCAACAACACTATGCGGTAAGCACTATTATTGTCCCCATTTTACAGACGAGGAACCTGAGGCACAGCAAGAGGTTCAGTAACATGCTCAGCTTCCACAGCTGGACGTGTCAGATAGGATTCAAACCCAGCTGGTCCGGCTGTGAGACAAAGGAAAGATATTGCCTTGCCAACGTCTTGTGTTGGGTTAGAGTAGATTCTCTGTTGAAACAAAAACAATCCAAACTCATAGATACAGAGAACAGATACATGGTTGCGAGAGGTGGAAGTGGGGGGTAGGCAAAATGAATGAAGGACTCAAAAGGTACAAACTTGCTGTTATAAAATAAGTCCTAGGGATCTAATGAACAGCATGGTGGCTGTCATTATATATTTGAAAGTTGCTAAGAGAATAGATCTTAAAAGTCGCATCACAAGAAAAAATATTTTTTAACTGTATGTTGATAGATATTAACTAGATCTATTGTGGAGACCATTTGGCAATGTATACAAATATCAAATTATTATGTTGCATACGTAAAATTAATATGTTATATGCCAGTTGTACTTCAATTTAGAAAAAAGTTTTAAACACACACACACACACACACACACACACACACACACACACACCAGAGTTCTGGGGATCAAAGTCCAAAATCCCAAAATCGGGGCTGAGCTTCCTCCAGTGCATCTGGAGGGGAGTCAATCTCCAGGCCTTCTCCATCTTCTAGAACTGCATGCATTCCTTGCATTCTTTGGCTCCTGGCCTTTTTTTCCATCTTCAAAGCCAGCAGGGTAGCATCTTGCTTTAATCATATTGCCAGTTCTTCTGTCTGTCAAAAATTTTTTTAACAAAATAAAAAAATGTTTTTCAAAGTCTAGAATGTCTAGACCAGTGGTTCTCAATTGGGAGTAATCTTTGCCCGAGGGGACATTCAGCATTCCATTCCAAGGACACCTGACTCCACAATGGCCTTTGAGCAGTTTTGTGCCCCAGACCAATGGAGTACATTAAACAGAATACAGGTTCTGGAGACCCAACTTGTGCAAGTCGTTTCATCTCTTTGTGTCTCAGTTTTCTCCTCTATAAAATGGGGATAATAAAGCTTATTTTGCAGAGTTATTGTAAGGGTCAAATGAGAAAATCTTCTGATAAGTTTGTGTGTGTGTGTGTGTGTGTGTGTCTAGAAACTTCCATTCAAATGTAAGACTAATTAATCCATTTCCTACCTGAGGGGTTTGTGGTCATGCTCAGATGATGTTATAGATACATAGCCCTTTGAAAAACTATTAAGTGCTATACTGATGTAAGGTGACATGTTACTTTTAAAGCAATACAAAATTATTGATTATTTATTATAACAATTGTGATACTGTTAAAAATTTAGAAAATGCAACATAAAAACAAGAAACTAAAAATATGCATATCACCACCCAGAGAGAACCACAATTTATATTTTGATATAGCTCCAACAACTATTGACTGGTGGTTCTGTTTGTTTCTTTGGAGCCCCACCTTTGCCCTCCGACTACCCTAAAAGATTATTTTGAAGCAAGTCCCAGGCAGCATATAATTTTATCATAAATATTTCAGTATTTATCTCTAAATTTAAGGATGCTTTAAATAAATATAACCTCAGTATGAATATCACACCTAAAAAAATAGTAGTGGAGGATGTTCATAATGGGAGAAACTATTCATATATGGGAATAGGAAGCATGTGGGAAATCTCTGTACCTTCCACTCAGTTTTTTTTTTTATCCTCACCCGAGGACATTTTTTCTACTTTTTTGTTCAGATAGAGTGGGAGGGGGAGAGAGAGAGAGAGAAACATCGACGTGAAAGTGACACGTCGAGTGGTTGCCACCCACACAACCCAACCAGGGCCAGGGCCAATCTGCAACTGAGGTACATGCCCTTAGTAGAAACCGAACCCGGGTCTCTCCGGACCGCAGGCCAACGCTCTTAACTGCTGAGCCAAACCGGCCAGGGCACCTTCCACTCAGTTTTACTGTGAACTTAAAACTACTCTAAATACTAAAGTCTATTATGTAAAGTAAATAAATTCTTATATTGTCAAAAGATTCTCATTATAAAAGTTTCCCTAATTGTATTGTTCTTTTTTTGTAAATTGTTTTTCTTATACCTTTTTGAATTGGGTATTTTTCCTTTTCTTATTTATTTGCCAAGCTCTTTCAAATTAAAGATATTAGTGACTTGTTATTGATTATTAATTACTTGTGATATTAATTGTAAGTGATATTAATTACTTGTTATTATTATTCCTACAAGGAAGGCAATGGAGACTTCAGGATCCTCCTCCCTGACTCAAGACCATAGTGAAGTCCACGGAAATACAGAAGATGTAGACTGTATGTTTGCTTTCTCCGATCCTCTGGACAAAGTCACATGGGAGGTGGAGTCCAGCTGTGGGTAGAACAGAAGACCCTGCTTAGCTCATGGGGCACAATGGCTCTAGAGAAGTAGTGATTATACACACATGCACACATACATATGTGCTTGGTCCAGTCTGTCCTCCAGCACCTTCTAGCTGTGGGAACCCTCAGTTGCTCCCCAAATCTCTAGGAGTCTCTGTGGGCTTGGGCGGGCACTAGGGAGGGCCCATAGAAGGTGAGAAGGGACCTGCATAGCCCCAGAATAGGAGATAGAAAAGTTTAGGGGTTAATCAGAGCCCACTTGCCCTGAAATTTAGAGTCCTAAAATGGCAACTATATACAGTCTAGTGGTCTCAGGGCAGGACAGGGGCCTTAGAAGCCCCTCTCTTATCTCCATATTCAGAGAAATGTCTGCCTTGAGACTCCTTGAACCCCTGGGACCTCTGAGAGCCTGGGTCTTTTGCACCATCCATTGGCCTTAAGGGTTTGGGAAGAGTATCCTGGAGAAACCAGCCCGTCCTGGCTCCCTAAGTCCAGACAGATTCCTGAAGAGGCCTTGGTGGTCTCTGGGGTGGGAAGGGTGGGAAACACTCATCCTTGTCTATGTGTTCCTCCCAGACAAAGAGACAAATTCCCACAAGCAAGATGGGAAGGCCGGACTCTTTTCTCAAGAATATAAGAGAGACAAGTCTTCCTCCTCCTCCTCTTCTTCCTCCTCCTCCTCCTCCTCTTCCTCCTCCTCCTCTGCCTCAGGTATAGCAAAGATTTAAATATATATATGTGTGTGTGTGTGTGTGTGTATACACAATCTTATATTATTCAAGAAAGCCTTTACGTGGGAAAACCATCCCCCATAATCTCCCACCTTGATACTTCAGTTCTGTTTTTCCACATTCCCTTCCAGAGCCCGCCTATCTGTACACACAACTTGTACACAGTTATAGCTAATTGTATAGAAACATTTGTCCATGGTTTAAAATTTTTGCTGTTTCTGCCTCTACAGTTTGCCCTGCTATTCTGTAATATCTTTGCAGCTATTCCTCATGCCTACCGAATAATCCCTCAAGTGGCTGCTTCTCATATAAAGTAACATTTAGGTTTCCTAGGGGCACTCTGGTGCCAGAGTCAGTGCATCTGTCCGTTCAAGCAGCCTGCACAGATTCAAATCCTTCCTTGGCCACTAGCTAGCTATGTGTCCTTGGGTAAATTGCTTAACCCTGTATGCCTTGGGTGCCTAATCTCTAAGATGAGGATGGTAACAAAAGTTGTTACCTCATAGGATTCTTGTGAGGATAACATTCTTCACATGTGTCAAGTCTGAGCACCTAGCACAGAGTCAAGACTCAGAAACAAGCTGTTATGGTGAAGATCCACCCCCACCTTACCGCCAACGTATCACATGCGTGAGCATCCTTGCTTAAAAGCTTTTGCTTTTTTTATTTTTATTTTTTATGTTTTTTAATTGAGGGTCACGTTGTCTGATTAAATGGTTATTTACAGTTTACATGATATATCTGTTAGAAATTTTGCTCTGTAAGATTAGGTTTAAGTAAACAAAAAGCTTGCCAGTTGGGTTTGAAATGGTTCTTTAAAACCATGGGCCGTACCCCTCACCACCTCCCGTGTAGCTCTCCATCTTCCCCTCACACTTCGGTGTAGATTGCATACCCTTTTTTCTCCCAAATCTCTGTTGCTTTTTCTTTTTTAATTTTTCATACAAATCATGACCCCACCAAATTGTTTCCCCACCAATAATTTAGTGGGTTTAGAGAAATGAGTGTCTCTATTTGGGTCTTGATTACAAATTGTAACATTATTCTCTAATAAACAGCAGAATGTTCTTTCACTTTTATCCTTTTGATTCAAAATGTAAGGCTGAGTTTATAGCAGCAGCAGCAACATCACAGCTAGCATGTACTGATGCTACTGACTTATGTGCCAGGTACTCTTCTGAGCACTGTAATAACTCATAGCAAACCATTGAGGAAGGTACTATTATTATTACCATTTTACAGATGAGGAAACTGAGGCACAGAGGCTAACTGACCTGCTGTAGGAGGGCTGAGTAACCAACCTGGGATTCCCTGGAAGTCTTTCTGGGACTGGGGAGCCTAAGGATTGGTTCTGGTCTCCTCCTCCTCAATCAGAGCTCCTGATCTGTTGTACATTGTGGGCCAGGGTCTGAGATTTTATTTGATGAAAGCAATCTCAGGCTAAATTTTTAAAAATGCTTGCAAAGCCCTGGCACCCTAGTCTCATGTTCTCATGTTGCAAATGATGAGACTGAGGCTCAAGGCCACAAAATCCATGCTTATTCAGCAGATAGAAGAGAGAATGGTTAGTGGGTCCAGTGGGTTTGTGTGTATCCAATCTCCTCATGGAGCTGATAAGGAAACCACCACGCTTATTAAAAATATACAAACCCACCCACTATGAGGTTTAGCTTTGGAAGAAGGGCTTCCAGGTGCAGAGGGACTCTGTCCCTTTGTTTCTCTTTTCTGGTGGGAGGGGACATTCAGTCTTCTGATTCTGGTTGCCCTTTAGGGGGTGCTGCTCCCACATTAATATCATCCCTCAATTGTGGCCATAAAGGACTTTCTTCCTGTCTTCACAGCACATATGGGATTGGCTGTAGTTAGCAAAATTGAACACTAAGAGAAAGCAACAGGCAAATAAATGCAGAAGCACAGAGGCAGGCTAATATTCAGGATCCTGGTGTCTGATCCACAATGACTGGCCTGTTGCTGAAACTGAGACCATGTCCATTCTTCAGGTTCAGATGGTGACTTCAAGGCCCCAAACCCAGGTGTCTCACTGCAGCCCCAAGTCTTCCTCCACACAAAGGACCCACATCGATGGTCGGCACCCAGCACTGCTCTCCGCACATCTTTTTGTTCTCTCTTTTTTTTTTTTAAAGGGTCAGAGCACAGGATTTTTATTTTATTTTTTTTTATTTTTATTTTTTTGTAATCCTCACCCGAAGACATTTTTCCATTTTTTGCACAGATAGAGTGGGAGGGAGAGAGAGGAACAGAGAGAGAGAGGGAAACATCGATGTGAAAGGGACACATCGAGTGGCTGCCACCCGCATGACCAACCAGGGCCGGGGACAAACTGCAACCGAGGTACATGCCCTTAGCGGGAACTGAACCCGGGTCTCTCCGGACCGCAGGCGGATGCTCTAACCGCTGAGCCAAATCGGCCAGGGCCATCTTTTTGTTCTTAATGTATGCTGTTATTTTTTAATTAAACTTTTTATTGTGAAAGATTACTCATAGGCATTGTACAAAATGCAGAACATATAAAGAAGTAGAGAAAAAATTATCCTTTGCTCTGTCACTCAGACATAACCACTAAGAACATATTTGTATATTTTCCCCAGACCACACTCCTCACAAAAACTAAATTCTGAGAATGAACAACAGAACAAATATATTCCAGGCTTGTTTTAGGCTGAGGTTCTCCTACAGTTTGTGTTTATTCTCTGCAGACAGCAGTGATGAGGACAAGCACCCCAGAAAAACCAGAAAACGTCGGCAGAGCCAGGGGGCTAGACACCCCCACAGGGGCGGCTCACCAGGTAGAAAATAGGCTTTACCATTTCTCCTTTTGGGTGTGTGTGTGTGTGTGTGTTATTTTTCTTTTTTAAAAAAAAATCTTTATTGTTGAATGTATTACAGATGTTCCTCATTTTTCCCCCATCGACCCCCTCCTCCCTACTCCTGCCCTGCTCCCGCCTTTTCCCACACTGTTGTCTGTGTCCATTGATTATGCATATAAGTTCTTTGGTTTATTTCTTCCCACCCCCCCAACCCCTTTCCCTTTGAGGTTTGTCAGTCTAGCAGTGAATTTGTACTTCTTAATCTCTTCAGCTTTTTCACCCATTCCCCCAACCCCCCTCCCACCTGGCAACCAACAAAATGTTCTCTGTATCTATGAGAATGTTTCTGTTGTACCTGTTCATTTTGTTTTTATATTCAATTGTCGATACATATGTATTCATTGTCATTTTGTTTGTTCATATATTTTATCTTTTTCTTCAAAAAGACCCTTCATCATTTCATATAATAACGGTTTGGTGGTGATGAACGCCCTTAATTTTTCTTGTCTGGGAAAATCTTTATATGGCCATCAATTCTAAATGACAGCTTTGAGGATAGAGTAATCTTGGTTCTTGATTTTCATCACTCTGAATATTTCTTGCCACTTCCTTCTGGCCTGCAAAGTTTCTTTTGAGAAATCATCTGACAGTCTTATGGGAACTCCCTTGTAGGTAACGAACTGCTTTTCTCTTGTTGCTTTTAAGATCTTCTCTTTGTCTTGAACCTTTTGCATTTTGATGATGATGTGTCTTGGTGTGGGCCTCTTGGGGATCATCTTGTTTGGGACTCTCTGTGCTTCCTGGACTTGTATGTCTGTTTCCTTCACCAAGTTAGGAAAGTTTTCTGCCATTATTGTTTCAAACAGGTTTTCGATTTCTTTTTTTTTTTTTTTTTATCCTCACCTGAGGACATTTTTCTATTTTTTGTTCAGGTAGAGTGGGAGGGAGAGAGAGGAAGAGAGAGAGAAACATCGATGTGAAAGGGACACATCGAGTGGCTGCCACCCGCACGACCAACCAGGGCCGGGGACAAACTGCAACCGAGGTACATGCCCTTAGCGGGAACCGAACCCTGGTCTCTCGGGACCGCAGGCCGACGCTCTAACCGCTGAGCCAAACGGGCCAGGGCTCGATTTCTTGTTCTCGCTCTTCTCCTTCTGGTACCCCCAAGATGCAAATGTTGGCACGCTTGAAGTTGTCCCAGAGGCTCCTTTCACCATCCTCATTTTTTTGGATTCTTTTTTCTTTTTGCTGTTCTGATTGGGCGTTTTTTGCTTCCTTATATTCCAAATCAATGGTTTGCTTCCTAGATTTACGTACTCTACTATTGAATCTGTGTAAATTATTCTTTATTTCAGTTAGTGCCTCCTTCATTTCTGACTGTGCATCCATCATTTCTGACTGGTCCTTTTTTATGCTCTTGAGGCCCTCACTAAGTTCGCTGAGGTTGTCACTAAGTTCACTGAGCATCCTGATAAGCAGTATTTTGAACTCAGCATCTGTTAGGTTGCTTATCTCCATTTCACTTAGTTCTTTTCCTGGAGATTTGTTCTGTTCTTTCATTTGGGACCTGTTTCTTGGTCTCCTCATTTAGGCTGTCTCCCTGTGTTTGTTTCTGTGTATTACTTAACGAGAGGTATGGGCTAGCTGAGACCAGATGCTGCTTGTTTGAAAGAATTTAGGAAAACCTGAAGCAGGATCCAAGACAGGCCAGTCCTATGGTTAAGCAACTGGCAACAGCTTGGGTGGGCCTGAAAGTTGGGGGGGGTGGGGCCTCAGGGAGTCACCAGGGCGGGGCTACCAGTGGGATCCAGGTTGCTGGAGTCCCAGATATGGCGGCTGTCTGCTGCCTCAGGGAAGGGCTCACCAAAGGAACAAAGGCCTCCGACAGCACATTTGTCCCGGAGAAAGCCCCCTCTCCAGCCCTCGCTCCAGTGCCAAACAGCTCAGTTCTTCCCTGTGTGTCTCTGGTGCCCCTCGAGCTGCCTCCCCTCCAAGCTTAGAGGGAGAGAGTCCGATAAGTCCGTGCGCGGGCTCTTTAAGGAGCTGCCGTGGTTCCAGCCGCTTCAGCCTCCCTGAGCTTTAGTTCCCGTTAGTTTTTCCAGCCAGAAGTTATGGGGACTTCTCCTTCTGGCACTGGAATCCTGAGCCGGGCACCTGGTGTGGGACGGGGACCCCTCAGTCCTCAGGGAGGACCTTCCCAGCTGAGGTGTCCTCCTGATTTTTATCCGCCACATGTGGGTGTGGGACCAGCCCGTCTGCCTCCGCCCCTCCTACCAGTCTCAATGTGGCTGCTTCTTTAATTCCGTAATTTTAGGACTTCCATTCAGCTTGATTTCAGGCAGTTTTGAATGATGGTTGTTCTGTGGTTTAGTTGTAACTTTGATGTGGTTGTGGGAGGACACGATACTACATTTACCTACACCACCATCTTGACCGGAAGTCACCATTTCCCCTTTTTCCACTCAGCTCACTGTTGAGTTTCTCACTGGGACTGAGCATGTCTTGTGAAGATGTTCCTCACAGCATTGTTTACAATAGGGCAACAATGGGAAACAACCTGATGTCCAACAACTGCAAAACAGGTCAATGATGCTACACCCTGTCCTGGTTTGAGCTCTGTTTGTATCTCTCTGAAGTGAAAAAGAAAGATGTTAAATCATATAATCAGTTTTTCTTTTATTTATTTATTTTTTGCAGTTTTTATTAATTAATTTATTTTTATAACAGATGTTTCTCCTTTTTCCCCCAGACAACCTCCTCCCTATCCTGCCCCACCCAAGCATTGTTATCTATGTCCATTGGTTACACACACATGCATATAAGTTCTTTGGTTTATCTCATCCCTCTCTCCTCCCCCTCCTCTGAAGTTAGTCTGTCTGAACTGTACTCCTTTCTGTCTCTGGGTCTATTTTGTTCATTCAGCTTTTTCTGATCATTACATTCCACAAATAAGTGAGAGCATGTGGTATTTATCTTTCTCTGATTGTCTTACTTCACTTAGCATAATACTCTCCAGGTCCCTCCATGTTGTCTCAAAGGATAAAATATCTTTCTTTCTTACAGCTGCATAGTATTCTATTGTGTATATGTACCACAGCTTTGTTATCCACTCATCTATTGATGGACACTTGGGCTGTTTCCAGATCTTAGCTATTGTAAATAGTGCTGCTATGAACACAGGGGTACATATATTCTTTCTGATTGGTGTTTCAGGCTTCTTAGGGTATATTCCTAGAAGTGGGATCAGTGGGTCAAATGACAGTTCAACTCTTAATTTATTGAAGAAACACCATATTGATTTCCGTAGTGGCCACACCATTCTGCATTCCCACCAGCAGTGTACTAGAGTCCCTTTTTCTCCACACCCTTGCCAGAACTTCTTGTTTGATGATTTGTTGATAGAAGCCATTCTGGCAGGTGTGAGGTGATACCTCATAGTCGGTTTAATTTGCATCTCTCTGATAATTAGTGACACTGAACATTTTTTTTTATGTCTCTTGGCCATTTGTATGTCCTGTTTGGAGAGATGTCTATTTAGGTCGTCCGCCCATTTTTTAATTGGATTCTTTGTCTTCCTTTTGTTGAATCGTGTGAATACTCATATAATCAATTTTGATCTCATATATACTTTGTAAAAATTCACACATACATGGCTATAAACAAGACTGGAAGGAAAAATATTCAAATGTTAATTGTGGTTATCTCTGAACAGTCAAATTGTGGGTGATTTTTATTTTCTTTTTTTTTTTAACTATTCTATAAATAGTTTACAATGAGCATGTTTTATTTTTAACAACAGAAAGAACATTTTTTCAAAAAGAAAAGATAAATTTCAGCCCAAATGGATCATGGGAAGAAAAGAACATGTGGGAAAGAGCCTGGATTAATGCTTAGTACAAATACTGGCACACATGAGGTGTTTAATAAATGCTGCCCATGAAGCTCAGTTTAGTTCTGAGTTCCATTTCTGGAGATAAAAATGATTAGGATTGCAGGGTTTGGTGACAGATCTGGGTTTAAACCCTGGACTTGTCACTTATTGACTATGTGAACTTCAGGAAATAATATAACTTTGTGAGCTTTCAGTTTCCTTATCTGTAAAATGGGGGAGGGAGAGGGACTAACACCTCCTTCATAGGATTTCCATGAGGATCAAATGAAATATTAAATATAAAGTGCTTCATAGAGTGTTGTACATAGTAAGTGCTCAATAAATAGCACTGTTATTGACTTTGAAGGAGGCCTATGTCCTCTCAGAGCCCCAATTCTTTCTTAGTAAACTGAATATGGTCACTTCTGGGTGTGTGTGTGGTGGTGGTGGTGGGGCAGTACAACAAAGTAAAGGGAAAGCACTTGTAAGGCTGTCTTGCTTCTTGAAGATCTCCCCGCTTACCCCTAGCACAAGAGCTGTGTGACTTTTTAAGGCTTCATGCAGGTAGCAGATGGAAGCTGCCCTGGGATGTCACTCCTGGGGAGAGCTGACTAATGGGGTTTGTCTCCACCCAGGTGCTGAGCATGGGGAGCCTTACCTTTTAAAGGATGAACTTCAACTCTATGGAGGTAATTGGTTGTCCAGTGACTTTGGAAAAAGCAGAATTAGACAAAGGACATGAGGGCCTAGGGGTTTGTTGGGCAGAAACGAGATCATAAGTGTGTTTCATGTGCTAAAAAGTCATGGGCAAATGCAGGAAATGTGGCAAAGTCAGTGGTTATAATGTTGGCAGATTGGGATGGGGGCAAGCATTCTGCACCATGGTGAGACTGTCCTGGGTTCTCTTCTGAACTATAACCTTGACTTGACCAGTTCTCCAACCTTTCTGGGCCTCAGCTTCCCAGTCAGCAAAATGAGATATGATCAGTACCCTCTCTCTTGGAATACTTGGCTGTGTAAGGCTGCAAGAGAAAATTAAGGACCTGATCTCTACAACACTCATATTATGTAATAACTGTCTCCAAGCATAGTGGTTATTACAGCAACAGCAAGATCTAAACAAGGTGGCCCTTTGCTTCTTAGCACTCTAATGAAATGGGGGAATTTTAGGAATGAACTAGTTTTCCAAAAAGCCTGACTAATGCACATGTCCAGATAAGAAAACCTGTTTAACTTTGTTTAATCGAACATTTTCATAATCTACTCAGTCTCCTAACTCCAAGAAAAACACTGAGAAACACTTATGTATATATTCAAATAAATGTAAGTGAAATATTTTGATGTTCCACAGCAAGATATTACCAATGGCTGCTTCTGGGTGGTAGCAGTGAGGGTAATCTTTATGCTGTTCATTTGCTTATCTGAATTTAAAAAATTTTTTTCTTTTACAAAAACAAGTATTTTTTTGTTTAGAAAAATGCTTTTAATTACTCAAGTATGAAAGAAAGATTTCACTGGGTGTGAAATGAGAGAGAGAAACTGATGTTTACATATATTTTTAAATCTTTTTTCTCATCATAAACGTAATTCATATTTACTGCAGTTAACGTACTGTCACGTATTTGTGAATTATTTTCTCCCCATACTCCCATCCCAAGGCATTGGAAGTCCTTAGTAAATTATACTGTTGGAGTCACATTCTTGGTATATTCTCTGTACCCTTGGTACTGGTCACTCTTTAGTCAGTTGAGCCTGCTGAATGTTTATTGCAATATGCTGAGTGCCCCCTTCTGGTGTTCGTGTCCTAGGGCTGACCTAAAAGACAGGAAGTATGCAGGAGTGAGGGCTCCTAGTGGTGGTGATGGTAGTGGGGGTGGTGACAAGGGGTCCTACCTGCCTTTGAGGGAAGGTGATGGGCTAGGAGAGATCTCATCAGAAACTAGAACAGGTACCAAGAACAAGAAGGTGAATTGGGTGGAAAGGCAACCCCAAACCAGATTAATGGTGGGGCTGCAACTCAGGGCAAGTATGTAGGGCTCAAGTCACCCAGACAAAGGGCTTGACACTCAGGGTGGAGGGGTGGGGCTACCATGTACAACCCAGCATGGCTCCTAAGTAAAACATCAGGGCCTGATGGTGCTGGGGCCTTATAGCTAGGTGTCATCACCTGGATCTAGATTGTCATTAACAAGCACAGGTTGCCAACTGGTGACCCAAGTGTATGCAGATATGTTTTATCTGGTTCACAGAGTGTTCTTACTTTTTTATTTTCCTTACAAACCCTTGTGTTGAGGGCTGACTTTCAATAGATCACAGCAAAGGAGTTGTTTTGCTATGTGTGAAACTCACAGGGTGCTTTTTAAAATTATTATTAATACATGTCATCAATTCTACAACTTATTTTTTTTGCATTTGGACATATTTGAAATCAGAGTCCATCATAAAATCACTGGTAACTTATAATGATAATTGGCAGTGGTTTTCCTTACAGAATAACATATAAAAAATATCGTATCTCACAAACTCTCTGATTTGCCAAAATACAAGTTGCCAACCTGTTTATAAATCAAGAAGTTGATGTAGAAACCTGGATTTCTGGTTTCTCCTGGGAAATTGGAAGACCTGTAACAGTGGCCAGGCATTCTTACAGCATCTTTAGTGTCTGGCGATTGCCCCTTTAGATGGAATAGGAACCTCCAGCTTGCTCTGGTACCCACGCAGCCCACTCAGATCAAATGAAGAGTCTCTGAGTGAGATACATCTTCCCAGAGGATAATAGATCTGTGATCACTGATTTTCCTTCTGTGCAGGTGCCCCTGGGGAGGTGGTGCCCTTTGGAGAATCAGGTGAGTGCCCAGTTTTGGGAGAGGGTTTGCTGGTGCTGGTGTTGAATGAGGTCTGAGCATTGCCAGCTATTATCAGGGTTCATGGCTGTGAGACGGGGATTCCAAGTCTACTTGGGGGCCTGGGGTTTTGATCTGAGCTCAGCAAGCTGTCAGGGCTGGCTGTGGAGATTAGAAAGGGGGTCTGGAAAAGAGGTAAAGAAATTATAACCAGCGATAGATAGATAGATAGATAGATAGATAGATAGATAGATAGATAGATAGATAGATAGATAGATAGACAGACAGGACAATTTGCTGGGAGAATTTTTATAGGACACCTATAGCCTCCCCCAGGGAGCAGGCAGCTGTTAAGGACCTAGGCTGGCCTGGGCACTAATGCTGAGTTTCTAATTTCCAGAACTCCGAAGGAGAGGCTCAAACTCATCAACCGGTAAGTACTCAAGTTCCAAGAGGAGAGTAGATGATGGCCTGAATCCCAGGGGGGTGAGATGGGATCAAAGCCCTCCTGGGATGGTGGGTCAGTCCCAGTAGGGGTGCCATCACCAGCCAGAGAGTCAACGTGATTCAGGAAGGGGACCTCCAAGCTCGGGGGGTAATGAAAGACAGCACAGATGCAGGCCCGTGGAGGGAGGAGGGGCCAGTGGGGGTCCCAAGAACAGCCATCCCCACCTTCACAGCTTGACCCTGACAGTTTCTGCAGGAAATGTCCTCTGACTCTGGGAAAAGGACTCAGGAGAGTCATTTTCAGTGAGCTGGGGAAGAGAAAGTTCTACCTGCTGTCCTTCATCAAAGTTAAACATTAATTTCTTGTTCCTAAGGAGAAATAGAGGCCTCTCTGTTAAGAAGACTGAATATAAAGAAAGATGGTAAGGAAATTAATGTTCCAAAGCTGCTTCCGTCTGTCTGGTCCAGATTTTTATGGGTAGAAAGTCAGCTGGTGACCTAGAACAACAGTGATCACAGCCCACCCTGGTTACGTGCCCTGCAGTTTGTAAACTCCCAGCTTAGAATCACCTCAATTAGGTGGTGCAATGATCCCATTTTGCAGATGTGGAAACTGAGGCTCACAGATGGGCAGTTGTCTTATAACTAACTAATGAGTGGCATGACCTGAGCTTGAAACGTGGACTTAAATTAAACTCTTTCTGCTACACATGGATGATAAATGCCCTCCAGTCCTTATGGGTAGGATGGGGAGCTAGAAATGGCAAGTCTGAGGAAGCTGTGAGTTTAGGTTAGACTAGACTCTAGAGAGGGGTGATGAGAACCAGACATACCTCCTCCATTCCAGGCCTGGAATCTGTGGGAGCTTCATGGAAGAGGATAAGGGTGGGAAGGGGCCCATTATTTTTTATTAAATAGACAGTTGTTCTAGAAACATTTTGAGTTGTTGCAAAAGCCCACCTTCAGGGAGTGGAAATCTAGGTCCATGCTCCCTGCTCTGCCTCTGTCCAGTAAGATAACCAGGGCATGCTGTTTAATTTTCCTGGGCTAGAAAACAAGCCTTGTCAGACTAAAACTGGAATTCCCTAAGTGCAGAACATGCCTGAGTTGCTTCAGGACATGCATTATACCCCAAAGTGAGTCCCCTTCCCACTCTCTTTCTTAGAACATGGTCACAGTTCAGGGACACCATGGCTCTAATGTTGCCCTGATCCTTGTTCATTGTCCTTCAGACACAAAAAGCAGTCTCTCCCTGTGTGCAAACTTTCTGCAGGCAGGGGGCTGGCTAGAACTTCACCATCTTGCCTCATATGCTGTGTGTGTGTGTGTGTGTGTGTGTGTGTGTGTGTGTGTGTTCTACACTCAGCAAAATCTGGCAATTGGGTCATTTTAAACTGTCTGTTGAAAGAACTACTGCTCTACGAAATAAAGTATTACCATTGCCTCATGCTTGTTTTGACATTTGAAAAAATTTCTTTTTTCTTTATTAATTTTTAGAGAGAGAAGGGAGAGGGAGCGAGAGACAGAAACATCAATGAGAGAGAACATCGATTGGCCGCCTCCTGCATGCCCCCCACTAGGGATCAGGCCCACAACCTGGGCATGTGCCCTGACAGAGAACTAAACTGGTGACCTCTTGGTGCATGGGTTGACGCTTAACCATTGAGCCACGCTGGCCAGTCTATTTTTGACATTTTTGATGAAACAATAACTACAGTTCTTATAAATAAAAAATACTGCTGTTTTGCTATTTTCTTTAGAGGAACAGAGCTTTGATTATATTTGGTAACACTTATGTTTAAGTCTAAGATGCCCCTGACTTTCTGAATGAAATTTAAGTGTTTATTTTTTAAGTTGAGATATTATTAACATACAACATTATATCAGTTTCAAATGTACAACATAATGATTTGATATTTGTAAATATTGTGATGTGGTCATCACAATAAATCTAGCTAACATCTGTCACCAAACATAGTTACAAATTCGTGTGTCTATGTGTACATGGGATGAGAACTTTTCATTAAGACAGGGATTCTAGTTTTCCATTTACTGTTGAAACATAAATTTTCCTTTTAATGTAAATCTATTTAAAGTAAAAAGGAATCTGTTTAAAGAAAAATCTTAAGTAAATATTAGTATAGATGGTCCTTGGATTAGCATGAAATTGTGAAGATAGTAAGCAGTGGTACATAGAAAGAGCAAAAACCACACATGATGTGTGGATGGCTGAAATTTGAGAAAAATCAGACAAGAATGATCCTCCAGGTCTCTTCAGGCTCAAACATAACCCTGGAGTCCTTCTGCCTTGTTCTATTCAGCTTCCAAAACTTCTAGTTCCCAGCAGCCCCTGCACTCAACTGGTTGAACCAACCCTTCACTACACTGGTCTGTGCCTTGGTCCCACCTCATGCTGTGCCTCCCAAGTAGCATGTGCAGGCACACACACATACATGTCCTTCCCTCTCATTCAAGTTCTATTGCCTTGACAATCTTTAAGGTTCAGCTCAAACTCTCATTCTTCCATGAAGCCCTCCTGGACTTTTTATGACAGGTTAGCAACCGCATACTATTCCACAGCATGGGTATATTATAATGTACTTACTATTCCCCACGTGATAGACATTTATGTTGTTTCTGATTTTTAGCTCTTTCAAAGTAAGCTATCCTACCCATCCAGTCCTCTACTTCATCTTGTATTTTGTTGGTCTCTTTCTCAAACACTTGTATTTTCTAAATATTCTTAAGAAAACTGAAAATAGCATTCAGGAAGAACTTCTCTGTTAAGAACTTGTTTTGTATTTCTGAAAGACTGGGTGAGGAAGACGGAGGAAAAAGAGTTCAGTAATCAACCTCGCCCTAGGTTTTCACATTTCTGAAGAGACCTAAGCCTGATGCTTTCTTAAATCTTAAGTCCGTTTCTGCATAATATACTTTTTCCCCTAAAGGCTAACCTGATTTCGGAGCCAAAAATGTTCTAGAAATACTCATTTTTATTTTTCTCCAGGAAAACAAGCCCAGAAATACCCTTCTCCCCTTCTGTTCATTTGCCTTCGAAATGTTCCTTGCCAGCAGTGATATGAAGTATCACACTGCCTTTTGCCATTTACAAAGCACTTTCCCATACAAGACTCTCTCTGGACCGCAGGCCGACGCTCTACCGCTGAGCCAAACTGGCCAGGGCCCATACAAGACTCTCAAAGGCATAGATATTGCTCTCCTCAATATACCAGTGAGAACTCTGAGACTCAGAGGGGTCAGGACACTTGTCCAAAGCTTCACAGCACATCAGTGGCTAAATTGGACTAAATTAAGACACATTCCTGGCAGCCTCAACACCCATTCAGGAAGCCTGCTTCATTCCAGGGAACAGTCTTTGAATTGTCTTTTCTGTTTCCTTTTTCTTTCTTCTTGAAAATCTTTGTTTACATCTCTTCTAATCACAGCCCCTTGAGTGGGTCGAAGCCCCTGTGTTCTCTCCCCCTGATGACTCACACAGTGCCTGGCAAGGTGCAGGGGAGCCTCTTTCACAGACCACCCCTGAATCCCTGCCCAAGGCACAGCACAGCCTCTCAGCCCCTCTGTTCATCCCTGTTAACTACATTCTGTTAATATTCCAAGCTTACAATCCCCCTTCTAGGCACTGGTCCCACAGAATGCACGGAGGTTCATGTGTAGAGATGTTGGGTACAACATCGGTGGTAACAGCAGATACCTGACATCAATAAATTCATCAGTGGGGGATTAGTTAATAAACTATTGTAGCTTTAGCCTGGCGGATGTAGCTAAGTGGATTGAGAGTCATCCAATGAAATGAGAGGTCCTGGTTCAATTCCCCGTCAAGGGACATGCTCCTGTTGCAGGCTCGATTCCCAGTAGGGGGCGTGCAGGAGGCAGCCAATTGATGTTTCTCATGTCCATGTTTCTCTCTCTCTCCCCCTTTCTCTCTCTAAAAAAATCAATAAAAACATATTTAAAAATAAATTAAAAATAAATAAACTAGAGTAACTTCATCCCATGGAACACTATACAACCACCAAAAAGAACAGGGCAGATTTATATATGCTCTGAGATGGAAAGATGGCCCTGATCTATCAATGAGATAGATCAATGAGAGGAAAAAAAGCAAATTATAGAGCAGCAGGTATACATATTGGTCCTGCTTTTTAATTTTGTTTTTTTTTAATCCTCACCCGAGGACAGTTTTGCATTTATCTTCAGATAGAGCAGGAGGGAGAGAGGGAGGAAGAGAGAGAGAGAGAGAAACATCGACGTGAGAGAGACACATTGACTGGTTGCCACCCACACGACCCTAACTGGGGCCGGGGACAAACTGCAACCGAGGTACATGCCCTTAGAGGGAACCAAACCCGAGACTCTCTGGTCCGCAGGATGATGCTCTAACCACTGAGCAAAACCAGCCAGGGCTTAATTTTTTTATAATGAGCATGTACATATATGTGCCTGGAAAGATTATGCCAATCACCACTCAATTTTAAGGAGAAGGATTAGCGGAGGAGAACGGGGCAATGTGAAACTTTTAAACTTGATACATTTGCATGTTTTACAATTGTATTTAATATTCATTCCACAAATTAAGTATCCAGAGCTCTGCATGCCCAGAGCTGCTTTGCTTTAGTCGGCGGCAAAATCTCCACCCACCATCCTACTGAGGGGGACAGAGAATAAACACAGAAATGAAAATATCACCAGTTGAGTGGTGATAAGTGTTAGAAAAATAATAATGTGAGATAAAGCCTGGAAAGGGTGGGGTTTGGGGTCCTGTTTTGGTTGGGCTGATTAGGAGAAGCATCTCTCAACAAAAGCTCTATTTCAGTGGAGACAGGAATATTTTTAGTAATTAAAAAAGAGGGAGAAAGAAGCAAATAGTAAATTCCCCATCTCCTCTACCTTTACAGATGAGTTTTTCCACTTCGTCCTCCTCTGCTTTGCAATCGGGGCCTTGCTGGTGTGTTATCACTATTACGCAGGTCAGTGGGGGGCTGTGGGAATGGACTGGGGGACTGGGGGTTCAGACCTGCAGGCTAACCATTCTCTCCCTGGCTGCCCTTGCAGACTGGTTCATGTCCCTTGGGGTTGGCCTGCTCACCTTCGCCTCCCTGGAGACCGTTGGCATCTACTTTGGTCTAGGTAAGCACCCTCCTGTCCCCCACCAAGACTCTTAGAGGGCGGTGGCTGAACCAGCCACGGATGCTTGCCAAGGGCCAGAAAGCCGCGACCTAAACACTTTTTAAAGATTTCCTTATGCTCGTGTTTTCTTCCTGACCGCTTTCAAGGTCAATGTGAGGTCTTTGGCAAAACTCTGTGGAAAAAACGGGCAGCTCTGTAAAAATGCAACAAAAACAGTTGAAAGTGGCAAACAAACAGAATTAGGCAGATACTGAAAACAAGTTAGTTAATGGGGTTGGGTACTGCATTCTCCATTTCCTGGCACTGTTATTGCCGTCTGTGGCTGTTGTTTTTAATAATAACTCTAGTACTATTCTCTAAGTGTAATCTGCTGCCTGAAATTCCACCATTAGAGCCTTGTTTGTGTGGGTTAAGCCTTGGTCCAAGTGTGGGCGGGAGGAGGTCTGACCCTGGGTCTCTTGAAGAACATAAAGCTCAGTCACCTTTCTCTTCTTGTCTGGGCAGTGTACCGGATCCACAGTGTCCTGCGCGGCTTCATCCCCCTCTTTCAGAAGCTCAGGCAGATGGGTAACTTTTACATTCTTCCTAAGTTCACTTTCTCTCTCCCGATCAGGGTCTTCTGTTGCCAATGAGGCTTAGTATACAGGAAAGAGCACAGGACCTGGAGTTGGGGCCTGGGTTCATTTCCTGCCTCTTCCAATTTACCAGCTCTGGGGCCTGGGAGCTTCTTTAGCCTCAGTTTTCTCAACTGAAAAACGGGTGTAGTAATACCTACTGCCTAAGGGTGTTGTGAAAATCATGTGAGGAATGGACGCAGAAGTGCCTGAGTGACACACTGTAGAAAAGTGAAGCGAATCTGGGTTCTGTCATAGAACTTTACATTTCCCCAAACTATCTTCTTCGTAATTTTATTTGCCTGATAGCACTCGGAGTGGGGGTGGGTTTCACTTATTTTGCACTTATCTGATGAAACTGAGGCTCAGAGAGGTAAAGCAACTTGCCCAGGGTCACACAGCTAAAGTGGTTGGGCTGAGATAAAGGAGAGTCTTTTCTGACCATTAGCTCTGTACCTACAATTAAGTCTCAAAACTCATAGGTCAGGGGACTGTGTGGCTCTGGGTTGGGGCTTTCCATCTCCTTTAAGCCATTTAGTTCATAAAGGGGAAATTAGTTCCACTGGCTGTGGATCATTGAGAACTGTGGCTTACTCTAGCTATGATGGGTATTTAGGCATCTGGGGTGATGGTGGAAATAAGACCTGGCTGACTTCAGAATCCCATGCCATCTTCTGGGCTTTTTCTTCCAGGGTTCAGGAAGACTGACTGAGGCCAGTGCCAGGCCGGCAGCCAGGCCAGGCCCCGGTATGACCACTATGGCATCCCCTGAGCACAGAGTGACGTTCTGGGAGACACGTGAGCAGGCCAGGCTGGAGCAATAGAGAGAGCCCCTTTCCTTCCATATTGTCTGAACATTAGTACCAGCCCTGGCAGAGGTATCATCTTGGCATGCAATCCAGCTGCCAGGATGGAAGGCAGAGGGAGGATGCAGAAACTGAGCCCTTTGTGGTGCCTGGATCAGCAAGAAGATTCTGGGACATCAGGAAGCAGTAGGAGACTCCTGGGCCCTGAAGCTGTCTGGATTTCTGGTTTCTCTCAAATCCCCAGGCTATCCTGGTGTACTTTCAGTTCCTACAGAGCCATCTCAGGACAGACAGACAGTCCACTGTCCTGAGACAGGAAACTACCATGTCAGGTCCCTTGGATGAACCCGATGTGGGTGAGATATGGGGGACTAAACCACAGCATCTGTGCTCCATCACCTAGTGCCAGCTCTGCAGCCCTGGACTCTGTCAAAATTCAAATAAATGTTTTCTTCCTTGTATTAAAAAGAGTCAGTGAAATATTCCTTTAGGTTTCTTGAGTATAAGAATACATTTGGGGTCTTCTTTGACCCCGTCTGTCAGGAAGGGCACCTTGTCCTATTGCGTAAAGGATAAAAGGTACTAAATACAAAGTAAAACCTCTCATTTTAGGTTCAAGACATCAATTGAACAGGTTTGGAATGGGAGACAGGGTTTTGTAAACATTTTTATAAAAAAGATCTGGGGGATGCCCTGGCTGGTTTGGCTCAGCGATTAGAGCGTCTGCCCTTGGACCAATGAGTTGTGGGTTCAATTCTGGTCAGGGGCATGCACCTCGATTTCGGTTCGCCCCGGCTACTTTACAGGGCTAGGCCACACCAAAAGCATGTATTCTGTTCTAGATTCATAGATTAAGAATAACAATGGCCCTGGCCAGTTTTCTCAGCGGTTAGAGCGTCAGCCTGTGGACCAGAGAGCTTCGGATTGGGTTCCTGCTAAGGGCACGTATCTTGGTTGCAGTTTGTCCCCGGCCCCGGTTGGGGTAGTGTGGGTAGTGACCACTCGATGTGTCTCCCTCACATCGATGTTTCTATCTCTCTCTCTTCCTTCCTCTGTCCCTCCCACTCTATCTCAAGATAAATGCAAAAATGTCCTCAGGTGAGGATAAAAAAAATAGACTAACAATGACAAACTGAGAAAACAAGAGACCAGAGTAGAAATATAAGGAATAATTAAAGCATCAAGACCTCTTCAACTTGCAGAAAAGTGGGGGCCTTTATGGAGCTCATAGACTCTGGAGGACACTTTCTCAAGTGGTTATGTTGATTTAAGTAAGTCATACATTATCTTGTTCAATCCTCACAGCAGCCTTGAGATGCGTGAATCATCCCTATTTTGCAGATGTAAAAACAGAGAGTTGAAGAGGTTTTATAACTTGCTTAAGTGCCTACAGGAAATAAGTATCAGAGCTGTGAGTTTTTCCCAGAATTTGAGACTCTTAGAGTTATAGATTTTTATTTTAAATGAGAGGGAGGGCTGCCAACTCTTTACCTTGCCAATTGAGGACAATAAAAACAAAAAAAAACTTCAGCTATTAGCATCATTTTATTAGAGAAAGGACAGTTTTGCATCAAAAAAAAAAAAGCAGAGAAATAATCATCAGAAACAAAATGGGTTTAAAATGAATAAACTAAGGTTTATGAAAATCTAACTGTGCATCCTTCTTCCACAAATCACTGTGGTCTGATGAAAAATTTGTCTTTTGGAAACCATGAGACTAGAGAATTTACATTCTCTTGTTTCTGGCGTTTTCCAGCTCAGCTCCCACACCTCAAATGATGAAAGCCTCACTATCTCCCAAAGCAATTGCTACTAAAAGAATGTTTTACCCTTGTTCTAAGATACCTCTGTCAATGAAGCTTAGGGCATTCTTTCAGAAGACTAGTGACCTAAGAGTAGGGAATATTCTTGATAGTCACGGCTGTGCAGTCTCAACACTCAGCCCTGAGCTTGACCCTGACATCCAGGCCTGTGGCACAGTCCTCCAATTGTATTTTTCTTCTTCAAGATTGTTTTGGCTGTTGTGGGTCCCTTGCATTTTTGTAAAAGTTTTAGGAACCACTTGTCAATTTCTGCAAAGAAGCTAATGGGAATGCTGATGGGATTGCATCTTTTACGTTTTCATTAGGGGAAAAAAAATTGGCCCAAATCAACCACAGTTAATATTTTGGTTGTTTTCTGTGAGTCTTTTTAGTGTGTGAGTTCATTTACTTTTATTTTGGGCCTTTTTTTTTCTTTTACATAGAATAGGCATTTTTCCATTACTACATACTCTCCATAAGCATCATTTCCAGCCACTCTGTATTTCATGCATTACATAATAATCCTTCTATATTTAGGTAATAATATCAATCACTAATGTTTGTTCAGTACTTCTCACATGCTGGGTGTGGAGCTAAGCACTTTGCACATATCATGTCATTTAATCCTCATCAAAACCCTGTGAAATAGCATCTGTCATGATCCCCACTTTATGAGGAGAAAAATAAGACAGGAATGTGAGTTTCTGAGCTTTCAATTTCAAGCAAGAGAGTCTGGAGTGCACAGATTAGATATGTATCAAATGTATAAATATCATGTAAGGGTTCATGATAGAAATATGAACTTGCTGACTTAAGGACAATATGGTTAGCCTTTCCTGTCCTGGCCTCAGTTTCTGCATCTGTACAGTGGGGAATCACAGCAGTGCCACCTCACAGTGCTGTGGAGAAGATTAACGAGATAATCACATCAAGTCTTGTACACAGTCTCTGGCACATAGTAGATGCTCAATAAATACGAGTTACTTGATTAGAGCAGGGGCACACATCATATACCTTACAGTCAGGCAGGCAAAGTCAGCCAGATGCAGAATAATGGGGAGTGTGGGAGAGAGGACCAGGAGAACTGAAGTCTGACCAAAGAGGGCAGCTACTATCCAGTGTTGCCAGGCAGGAACACCAACTGAGTAGTACCAGCCAGAAAAACAGAGCCACACCAGGTATTTTAACAGAAAGATCTAATATAGGGGATGTGTTAAGCAGGTATGGGAGTACTGAAAAGGCAAAAGGAGATGACTGAGGTATCACAGAGCCTCACAGAGGGGAGCAGTTACCACCTAGGGCTGGGGGACAAAGGAAAGAGGTTAAAATCAAGAAGAGAGCCCTGGCCGGTTTGGCTCAGCGGTTAGAACCTCAGCCTGAGGATCAAAGGATCTCAGGTTTGATTCCTGGTCAAGGGCACATACCTGGGTTGCAGGTTTGATCCACAGCTCTGGTTGGGGTCATGCAGGAGGCAACCAATCGATGTGTCTCTCTCTCTCACATCAATGTTTCTCTCTCTTTCCCTCCCTTTCTTCCACTCTCTCTAAAAAAAAAAATCAGTGGAAAAATATCCTCGGGTGAGGATTAACAAAAGACAAACCAACAAAAAAGAGGGCCCTGTAGAGCTGGGACCCAGACCTCTGAGGAGGCACTGCCTATGGATGCTGGAGTCTCTGAGGGTGGTCTGATGAGGCAAGGGCTGGGAGTGCATGTGATGTCAGACCTTCAATTTCTCAAAAGAAGTATGAAACCCAGATTTTTTTAACGTTGACAACTAATTTTTTTTTTCATTTCAAATTAAAAGTTTTTATTTAAAATTTATTTTAATTTTAAAAATTTTCAGTATAGCCCTGGCCAGTTTGGCTCAGCGGTTAGAGCGTCGACCTGCGGTCCGGAGAGACCCGGGTTCGGTTCCCGCTAAGGGCACGTACTTCGGTTGCAGTTTGTCCCCGGCCCTGGTTGGTCGTGCGGGTGGCAGCCGCTCGATGTGTCCCTTCACGTCGATGTTTCTCTCTCTCTCTCCCTTCCTCTCTCTCCCTCCCACTCTATCTGTACAAAAAATGGAAAAATATCCTCAGGTGAGGATTTAAAAAAAAAAAAAATTTTTCAGTATAGTGGTTCCTCAAAAAATTAAAACCAGAATTACCATATGACCCAGCAAGTCTACCTCTGGATATAGACCCAGAAAAATTGAAATCAGGAACTCGACAAAATGTTTACCCACCTGTATTCATAGTAGTGTGATTCACAATAGCCATAACGTGGAAGCATCCTAAGTGTCCATCAGTGAATAAATAGATAAACAAAATGTGGTCTATACACACAATTGAATATTATTTTGCCTTATAAAGAAAGAAAATTCTGACACATGCTACCATATGGATGAACCTAGAGGACATTATGCTAAGTAAAATAAGTCAGTCATAAAAGGACAAATACTGTTTGATTCCACTTAATGAGGTCCCTAGATAAGTCAAATTGCTGAAGATAGATAGTAGCTCAGTGGTTGAGCCCAGCTGGTGCGGCTCAGTGGTTGAGCATCGACCCACACACCAGGAGGTCGTCGGTTTGATTCCCGGTCAGGGTACATGCCCAGGTAGTGGGTCCAATCCCCAGTGGAGGACATGCAGAAGGCGGCCAATCTATGTTTTCTCTCATTGATGTTTTTCTCTCTCTCCCTCTCCCTTCTTCTTTCTCTAAAATCAATAGAAGAAAAAAGAAGAAAAAGAAAGTAGAATGATGGTTGTCAGGGGCCAGAGGTGGGGGAATGGGGAGTTCATGTTTAATGGGTATAGAATTTTAGTTGGAAAAGTTCTGGAGATGGATGGTGGTGATGATTGTACAACTATGTGAAAGTACTTAATACCAGTGAACTGGATGCTTAGAAACAGTTTATTTATTTATGTATTTATTTAATCCTCAACTGAGGACATTTTTCCATTTTTTGTACAGATAGAGTGGGAGGGAGAGAGAGGAAGAGAGAGAGAGAGAGAAACATCGATGTGAAAGGGACACATCGAGTGGCTGCTATCCACACAACCAACCAGGGCCGGGGACAAACTGCAACCGAGGTATGTGCCCTGAGCGGGAACCGAACCCGGGTCTCTCTAGACCGCAGGCCGACGCTCTAACCGCTGAGCCAAACCGGCCAGGGCCTTAGAAACAGTTTAGATGGTATATTTTATTTTATGTGAACTTTACCACAATTAAAAAATATATCTCACATTATTTGTGGTCAAACAAAACTGGATCTGGCCTGCAGGCCATCAGCTTACAGTATGCATTGAGAGCTCTCTGTAATGTTAAGCTGAGACGGTATCTGAAGGAGATACAGAGAATGGAAGAAAAAGCCACAGCAAAAAAAAGGACACAGTCTTTTCTGTTCTACTTCCCAAATAGTGGCAACTTGACTGCATTGTGGAGACATGAATTCAATCCCAGTTCTGCTGCTGGAAACCTTGGCCTCTCTGGGTCCCAGTTGTCAAAGAAGGGGTTTAGGTGGGTCACAATGTAGGAGCCCCTTGTGCCCTGGGAGAAAGCCCCACACTCTCCAGATCTCGGCAGAGGGTCTGTCTCTCCATGGGCCCTGGCCCCTAGCGCTGCCCTTGGACCCTGTCACTGCTCCTCTTCCCAGCCAGAGCTCAAGGCCAG